AGAGCACAATTTTTCAGTTATACATGAACATATGTATATTCATTGTCATATTTTTTTCGCTGTGAACTACCACAAGATCTTGTATATATTTCCCTGTGCTATACAGTATAATCTTGTTTATCTATTCTGCATATGCCCGTCAGTATCTACAAATTTTGAAATCCCAGTCTGTACTACTGGCTTTTTCCTGAATTAGAACCTACTCCATTCAAGCCTACAACAGCCTCTCTTCCTTTATCTCTCTTTCGTCATCCCTGTGCCTCACCTCATTACGTAAGCACAGGTTAGGAGCCAAGCGTGACCTTTCTCTTTCCTTCTGCTTCAAGACTCTCAGGTACATTTGTTATATTTTCTGTACATAGATATTTTAGATTTTCTTTTAGTATTTTTAAGTAAGCTACTGTATTTGACTTCTGATTATTCGGATTCTGACAAAAATACATTATCTTTGTTAATAGATGCATTTTTTACTTAACAGATGTATATTGTGTTCTTGTGCCAGACACTAATTTTATCCATCCTTCTTCTAAAAGAGATTCAAGGTTATTTATAGTAACAGACATGTATGTAGTAAGGCTGTTAAAATTGAAACACAAAAACAAAACTGTGAAAAATTATAAGAAAAGCATGCTGAAAGCCACGGCTAACAGATAATATAATTGAGCATTAAATTTAGCTGTGAGCTTCTTGTCAGGAAAGACAAGAAGAGAAATGCAGCAGATTATATAATTATGTGACAAGAAGCATGCCAATTCTGCAAGAGATACATTTTTGCTGATGCTAAAGTTTTAAAAGCATTTAACATAAGATAATCTTTTACATGAGGCATTGAACTAAATAATGTCTTTAATCGTGGTATTGCAGCAAATCCATTAGGAACCTTTTTAGTTTCAAGTGTTAATACCTAACTCAAACTGACTTAAACAAACAAAGGGGATTTGTTAATTGGATTCATGTCTTAGGCAATATCATGAGGATATTTTTCTCCATCTTTCAGATCTATTTTCAGTGCTGGCCCATGCTCAGACTCTACATGATGGCAGGATGGCAGCAACAGGTCCAAAGCCTACCTCCTCTCTCATGTTTAGCTCCTGGGACTAGAGGCAACTCAGAGAGAAAATACTTGAACAGGAAATGGGAAGAGGAGTGATCCCTCTAATGGAAATGTATGTAACCATAATAAGGTCAAATTGATGCAGCATAGCAAATCATGTCCGCTGTTCTCCTTTTGGCTACCCAATATCCCTCCCATATACACACTTTTTTAAAATGCCTGTGTCTACATAAAATGCACATACCACTCTTCCCCAAAAAGAATACATAAATTCTCATTCACTTAAGTAATACACTTTCTAGACCATGAACTCCAGGTGATGTGCAGGTAGGAGTGCTGGTTGACTTATGACTAAGTTTTGTTGTTGCTCTTTAGTGTGGTTATGTTTTTCATTTGAGATTCATTTGGGTTTATTTGTTTTAAATTCAATTCAGCTTTAGCCCCCTCTTCCCATTCTTATCATCTAAGAACTTATTT